ATCATAAGAAATATCTGTCCGTTGTACGATTCCGACTACATCATAAGAAATATCTGTCCGTTGTACGATTCTGGCTACATCATAAGAAATATCTGTCCGTTGTACGACTCCGACTACATCATAAGAAATATCTGTCCGCTGTACGACTCCGACTACATCATAAGAAATATCTGTCCGTTGTACGACTCCGACTACATCATAAGAAATATCTGTCCGTTGTACGACTCCGACTAAATCATAAGAAATATCTGTCCGTTGTACGACTCCGACTACATCATAAGAAATATCTGTCCGTTGTACGACTCCGACTACATCATAACAAATATCTGTCCGTTGTACGACTCCGACTACATCATAAGAAATATCTGTCCGCTGTACGACTCCGACTACATCATAAGAAATATCTGTCCGTTGTACGACTCCGACTACATCATAAGAAATATCTGTCCGTTGTACGACTCCGACTACATCATAACAAATATCTGTCCGTTGTACGACTCCGACTACATCATAAGAAATATCTGTCCGTTGTACGACTCCGACTACATCATAAGAAATATCTGTCCGTTGTACGACTCCGACTAAATCATAAGAAATATCTGTCCGTTGTACGACTCCGACTACATCATAAGAAATATCTGTCCGTTGTACGACTCCGACTACATCATAAGAAATATCTGTCCGTTGTACGACTCCGACTACATCATAAGAAATATCTGTCCGCTGTACGACTCCGACTACATCATAAGAAATATCTGTCCGTTGTACGACTCCGACTACATCATAAGAAATATCTGTCCGTTGTACGATTCTGACTACATCATAAGAAATATCTGTCCGTTGTACGACTCCGACTACATCATAAGAAATATCTGTCCGTTGTACGACTCCGACTACATCATTAGAAATATCTGTCCGTTGTACGACTCCGACTACATCATAAGAAAGATCTGTCCGTTGTACGACTCCGACTACATCATAAGAAATATCTGTCCGTTGTACGACTCCGACTACATCATAAGAAATATCTGTCCGTTGTACGACTCCGACTACATCATAAGAAATATCTGTCCGTTGTACGACTCCGACTACATCATAAGAAATATCTGTCCGCTGTACGACTCCGACTACATCATAAGAAATATCTGTCCGTTGTACGACTCCGACTACATCATAAGAAATATCTGTCCGTTGTACGACTCCGACTACATCATAAGATTTTCTGGCCGTTGTACGACTCCGACTACATCATACGCTTTGTGATTCACTATCAATTAGTTATGATACCAGGTGTTTGCGAAAACATGAGTGTATCCTACCCTACCGGTGGCGCCCGTCACAAACACATGCAAAGGCAAGACAAGTGTTCATCTAAAACCACGAGAACATATGGAGTCAGTCAAAATAGGGAACTGCAGGGGACATTGCATGGAACATGATCACGGAGGCGTCAAGTTTGGAAGTGTCCCCCACATGTCTTCCATAAAACTATTTGTATAAATAAAACGTGCAAGTGTAATGAAGAAAAACCTCAAAATCAGTCTTAAAATGTTCCTAACAATATTTCAAACCATTTCAAACCATTATCAATTTCAATGCACAAACCATTATTTCCACCACTAATTTGCCATTTACACCATGATCGAGACTGATTGTGTAGCCTTTCAACGGATGCATATTCCTCCCTGCTCATTGCATGCATTGGGCAAGCTGTATTGACGATTGCACGCATTGCAAACGGCCTGCACAATGGGCAGTTGCACAGATTGGGTATAACACACATACAGACAGGATAATACCATCCCATAGGAGAGGATATCGGAGATACAATGCACATGCCGTCTCTTTTCAAGTATTCAAGACTCCACTCATGTAAATACACAACCCATGTGGAAATTTATTGAGCTGCTTGTTTTGTATATCATCAACTACGTGAGTCAATGCGTAAGTACACTGTGAGCTGCTTGATTTGTATATCATCAACTGCGTGAGTCAATGCGTAAGTACACTGTGTGCTGCTTGATTTGTATACCATCAACTGCGTGAGTCAATGCGTAAGTACACTGTGTGCTGCTTGATTTGTATACCATCAACTGCGTGAGTCAATGCGTAAGTACACTGTGTGCTGCTTGATTTGTATACCATCAACTGCGTGAGTCAATGCGTAAGTACACTGTGTGCTGCTTGATTTGTATACCATCAACTGCGTGAGTCAATGCGTAAGTACACTGTGTGCTGCTTGATTTGTATACCATCAACTGCGTGAGTCAATGCGTAAGTACACTGTGAGCTGCTTGATTTGTATACCATCAACTGCGTGAGTCAATGCGTAAGTACACTGTGTGCTGCTTGATTTGTATACCATCAACTGCGTGAGTCAATGCGTAAGTACACTGTGTGCTGCTTGATTTGTATATCATCAACTGCGTGAGTCAATGCGTAAGTACACTGTGTGCTGCTTGATTTGTATACCATCAACTACGTGAGTCAATGCGTAAGTACACTGTGTGCTGCTTGATTTGTATACCATCAACTGCGTGAGTCAATGCGTAAGTACACTGTGTGCTGCTTGATTTGTATACCATCAACTGCGTGAGTCAATGCGTAAGTACACTGTGTGCTGCTTGATTTGTATACCATCAACTGCGTGAGTCAATGCGTAAGTACACTGTGTGCTGCTTGATTTGTATACCATCAACTGCGTGAGTCAATGTGTAAGTACACTGTGAGCTGCTTGATTTGTATATCATCAACTACGTGAGTCAATGCGTAAGTACACTGTGTGCTGCTTGATTTGTATACCATCAACTGCGTGAGTCAATGCGTAAGTACACTGTGAGCTGCTTGATTTGTATACCATCAACTGCGTGAGTCAATGCGTAAGTACACTGTGAGCTGCTTGATTTGTATACCATCAACTGCGTGAGTCAATGCGTAAGTACACTGTGTGCTGCTTGTTTTGTATACCATCAACTGCGTGAGTCAATGCGTAAGTACACTGTGTGCTGCTTGATTTGTATACCATCAACTGTGTGAGTCAATGCGTAAGTACACTGTGTGCTGCTTGATTTGTATACCATCAACTGTGTGTGTCAATGCGTAAGTACACTGTGTGCTGCTTGATTTGTATACCATCAACTGCGTGAGTCAATGCGTAAGTACACTGTGTGCTGCTTGATTTGTATACCATCAACTACGTGAGTCAATGCGTAAGTACACTGTGAGCTGCTTGTTTTGTATATCATCAACTGCGTGAGTCAATGCGTAAGTACACTGTGTGCTGCTTGATTTGTATACCATCAACTGCGTGAGTCAATGCGTAAGTACACTGTGTGCTGCTTGATTTGTATATCATCAACTGCGTGAGTCAATGCGTAAGTACACTGTGTGCTGCTTGTTTTGTATACCATCAACTGCGTGAGTCAATGCGTAAGTACACTGTGTGCTGCTTGTTTTGTATATCATCAACTGCGTGAGTCAATGCGTAAGTACACTGTGTGCTGCTTGTTTTGTATACCATCAACTGCGTGAGTCAATGCGTAAGTACACTGTGTGCTGCTTGTTTTGTATACCATCAACTGCGTGAGTCAATGCGTAAGTACACTGTGTGCTGCTTGTTTTGTATATCATCAACTGCGTGAGTCAATGCGTAAGTACACTGTGAGCTGCTTGTTTTGTATACCATCAACTGCGTGAGTCAATGCGTAAGTACACTGTGTGCTGCTTGATTTGTATATCATCAACTGCGTGAGTCAATGCGTAAGTACACTGTGTGCTGCTTGTTTTGTATACCATCAACTGCGTGAGTCAATGCGTAAGTACACTGTGTGCTGCTTGATTTGTATATCATCAACTGCGTGAGTCAATGCGTAAGTACACTGTGTGCTGCTTGATTTGTATATCATCAACTGCGTGAGTCAATGCGTAAGTACACTGTGTGCTGCTTGTTTTGTATATCATCAACTGCGTGAGTCAATGCGTAAGTACACTGTGTGCTGCTTGATTTGTATACCATCAACTGCGTGAGTCAATGCGTAAGTACACTGTGTGCTGCTTGATTTGTATACCATCAACTGCGTGAGTCAATGCGTAAGTACACTGTGAGCTGCTTGATTTGTATACCATCAACTACGTGAGTCAATGCGTAAGTACACTGTGTGCTGCTTGATTTGTATACCATCAACTACGTGAGTCAATGCGTAAGTACACTGTGTGCTGCTTGATTTGTATACCATCAACTGCGTGAGTCAATGCGTAAGTACACTGTGTGCCGCTTGTTTTGGCAGCGTTGCTGTTTGTGAAAGCTAATGGATGTCATCAGCCTAGAAATGACGGGACCTCAACAATAGCAACTGTGTATTCGTTACACTTGCTCTTATACTTTGTCAACAAGTTCATGATATGATAATCTGGTTTGACTGATGGGCGGCATTGTCAAGATATCTTCTCATTAGTCCGACATTCCAGTAGTGCCCCAGTTAAAAACAAGAAGCTATGAGGAAGCCGTCACCTTGGGATGACAGTGTTGCATCAATTCAAAACAGCCATCAAAAAAAGGCTTTAAAATTAGATGATTTATTGTCGTGTATTGATCTTGTCGTGTTTGCATGTCGAAGGTGACACAGCTAGTCCCAGGTTTGTCTTGAGTCTAGTTGTGCAGAAACGTGTGTGGGCGAGTGTACGTAAAGTTGTCTAGTTGTGCAGAAAAGTGTATGGGCGAGTGTACGGAAAGTTGTCTAGTTGTGCAGAAAAGTTTGTGGGTGAGTGTACATAAAGTTGTCTGGTACAGTGTGTGGGCGAGTGTACATAAAGTTGTCTAGTTGTGTGGCACAGTGTGTGGGCGAGTGTACATAAAGTTGTCTAGTTGTGTGGCACAGTGTGTGGGCGAGTGGACATAAAGTTGTCTAGTTGTGTAAAGTTAGAATATTATGTGTTCTGTTCTTTCGCCAGAAAATCGGATTGCATAAAACTGTATAGGACACACCAAGACAATGACAACAATAGCTATACATGTTTATTCAGGGAACATTATAAAAAGATTTCAAAAAGATAATTTGTTTTAAATAGCAAAAATGATTTCCCATTCTAGCTTCATCTAAGCTAAATCCCAGTGCTTGAAGACTAAGTCGTACATGTCCTGAAGGAGTAGAAAAGTCTTCAATGTGGACGGCACAGGCAGCTCTTCAACAAGAGGTTCAATTGACCTTTGAGTTCGATTTTGAAGAACACACCTGACTGACCTTCTGCAAAGTTTGAGCAGACTGTCTGGCTGACGTGTCGCCGATGCTGGTAATATTTGGCAACTCGGAACCAACTTTGGCCGTTGCTGACACAGCATATAAGCTAGATCGTGGAAATCCTGACAATAATATATCAGCAGTTTGAGCATTGACAGGTCTTCCCATTTCAAATGTTCTACCTGTATGTCCCTGGAATGTATTTTGGCACCATATTGTAGCAGAGTACATGTTGTATCTAAGTGCCCGTATATTATTGCATAATGGATAGGTGAGTATTTGTCTATGTTATCTCTACAATTCATTTCTGCACCCGCTCTCAACAACATATGCAACGCTTTGACACTGAAGGATTCTCCACCATTTGTTCCATGAGTTTGTTTCACTTGATGCAATGGGGTACAGGTTTGATTGGCCCGCTGCATCTTTTGTTTCACATTCCGTTGACTTATGTGAAGTGCATAGAATAACGGAGTGTGGCCAAACACATCTCTCCGATTTACATCTGCGTCATAGTCGATGAGAATTTTCACGATATCCAAGTGTCCAGCTTCACAGGCCAAGGTTAGGGCTGTTTTCCCCAAACGTTCCACCATGTTCACATCCGTTCCCACACTGCACAGCAACCTGACGACGTCTGTGTGTTTTTCCTGCACTGCGATGTGCAGAGGCGAGAACAGTTTGTGCTTCCAGCCAGTCGTATTGCGGGAGATCGAGACATCGCATCCTGTCAGAAAATATCAAAGTCATTTGAATCAAGGTCTTAATATATATGTCTAGTGTGATCGGAGATAAATAAAGTAATAAGAGTGCATTAAATCAGGACGATTGGGTAACCTAACTGTTAGCTTGTCACGTCGAAGGCCCGGGTTCAATTTCTTATATAGATACAATATGGGAACGTCTGTTCGATGTCCACTGTCCTGATATTGTTGGAATATTACTGACGACAGCGTTAAACCATAACCCATTAATGTGGAATGGTAAAAAAATAGGGATGTGTATTTCATATATTTTTGTTTTCTTTTTGACCAGAACCATTTATCAAGTTAGATCAAAATCTCAAAATCTCAAACTGTCTTGGAAAAAAACGCCTCTATTGTCTCGTGGACAGAACATCAGCTTTGAGGACGTGAGTCAGTATACTGTGTCTGACAGGGGTATCCATGCTTGACTACAGCATGGTATCTCAGTGGGTGTATGTTTTGAAGAGTACGTTAAATCCCATTTCACTTCACCCCTTTGGGAAGAGCAAGGACCTTATGACGTGTATTACTGCTAGTCAGAATAGACACAAAACAAGAGGTTTTCAAGGTCAATGGCAGACAGTGGTTTCCTTGATCATTGCTTTGCATTTTTCTTTTCATATCTAACCCATACATGTATATCTTGCTTTGTAGGTTGCCTCCAGTGGTAAAGCGTCCGCCAGGAAGGTCCGGGGCTCGATCCCCGGCCGCGTCATACCAAAAGACGTTAAAAGATGGTACCCTGTCTTGCGCTCGGTATTAAGGGGCTAAAACAAGGACTGGTCGGCTCGGAGTCAGTATACTGTGTCTGAGTGGGGTATTCATGTTAAACTGCGGCATGGTATCTCAGTGAGCTATCACTATAAATCGGCATCAGCCCGGACTAGTACACACACACACACACACACACACACACACACACACACACGTGCATGCACGTCGCTTGCAATAATCTTGGACGCGACGTTAAACTCAATTTCACCTCACCTCATCCCTAAAAGTGATATATTTATCGTGAAGAAACTTAATTAAAGTTAAAAGTCTTAGACGCTCAACATTTTGGCGAAATAAAAAATCACGGATATGGTGCTGACAAAACAACATCATGAGGGCGACTCTGGGACTGAATCTGATTAACTCTCCACAGCGGTTTACGGCAGAAGGATACCACCTACCTGCATTTATCAACATGGAGGCAATCTGCAGATGGCCCCTTTCACAGGCCAGATACAGAGGGGTGACGTTCCCACGATCAACGACGTCAAGGTCACTGCCCTCGCAGATGAGGAAGTTCACAACGTCACTGTACCCCAGACAGGATGCATAATGCAGAGGTTTGTGTCTGAAACGTAAGGATGGTCGATGACGGGTTTGTTTTGTAATATATTTTGGCCGAATCAACTGAATTGGCAGAAACATCATAAACAAGTGTCCAAAAGAAACGATACCACCTGTTTGCAACGACATAAAAGAAAAACTAAACAATGCAGAAGTTTAGGATTGGTGTTATGCTTTTGAGAAATCCTTTCACAACATCTGTACAAAACTTTCATTTCAATAAAATCTGTACAACCAATATGACAAGCCTTTAAAGATGGGTGGGGTCGAAAAATGAACATTTCGTTAGAGCACTGATCACAGAAACAACGGGAAATGTCACACCACACGTCTCAAAGTCAAGTCAGTAGCGGGTATGTCCACCGTGAGCATCAATACATGCCAGAACACGCCTACGGACTGATGACGTCAAACGTCTGATGACGTTGGGAGTGATGCGTTGCCATGCCTCGAGGAGACATCGTTCCAAGTCCTGGACGTTGACTGGAGGCACACGGCGATGTCGGATTTGCCGATCGAGGTGGTCCCATAAGTGCTCGATGGGATTCATGTCCGGTGAACATGCGGGCCATGGCAAAACCTGTACGTTGGCGTTGGCAAGGAAGTTCTGTGTCAATCTTGCTGTGTGTGGCCTTGCATTGTCATGTTGGAAAAGGAGTCCACGAGGCTGTTGCTGAATAAAGGGCACCACAACAGGCCGTAGGATGTCATCAAGATAACGCTGTGCATTCAGGTTTCCACGAATTACGACAAGCATCGTTTTGACGTCACCACATATGCCATCCCAAACCATTAACCCTCCACCTCCAAACGGCCGGACCTGTTGGATACAGTTAGGCGCCAAACGTTCACCAAATCGTCGGTATACAAGCTGCCGTCCATCGTTTCTGAAGATGAGGAATCTGCTCTCATCAGAGAACATAACACGTGCCCAGTCCCGCCGTTGCCAACGTCGAACTCGCCTGGCCCAGATCAGTCTGTTGTTCCGGTGTCGAGGCGTCAGGAGCGGTCCGCGGTAGGGATGACGTGGCCGGATACCATACTGCCGTAATCTCCTGTAGACGGTCTGTCGACTGATCCTGTGTCCCAGTGCTGTAGCCGCCGTGGACGTCGCTGTTACGGTGCGGTTCCTCAGGTGTAATACCCGGATGTAACGATCTTCACGGGGCGTGGTTACTCGTGGCCTCCACTCCTGGGCCTGTCTGACGTCTGACCTGTCTGACGTAACCGCTGCATCAACCTGGTGATAGTGATGCGTGAGCAGCCCAACCTTCTGGCGACGTCGACGTGTGACGCTCCTTGTTGGACCATTCCAACGGCTCTCTCTCTCTCTCGATGACTGTCAAACGTGGCATATCTTGTGTTCTTTTTGTTGCTGTGTTATCAACGTGTCTGATCAGCCGTTTTATACAGTTTTTCTGCACGTGCAGAACATGCTAGAGAGGGAAATGTCACTTTCACGAAATTTACGTTTTTTCCCGGAAGTGATCACGTGTTCCCGGTATTTTTTATCGACTATGCTGTGTTTGGGATGTGCAATACGATTTGGCATGTTTTCATACTTGACAATTCACTTTGTAAAAAACAATTTTGAAAATAAGTTGGTATCGTTTCTTTTGGACACTATTTTATTTAGAAGAAAAGAGGTGCTTTTGCACTTTACGCTTAATCTGTACTTAACACTCTTCATTGCTTAGTCGTCATACTGCTGGTTTCTACCAATGTGGAAAACGCCTGGGATCTGTATTACGGTTGGTTGTCAAAGTTGCATTGAGAAGTATTTCAGTTATATTGGGTTAGACCCGTGACGATGCGGGTAGAGAATAGGTCTTCAGCAACCCATGCTTGCAGTAAGAGGCCACACTGCTTGTCGCAAGAGACATCTAACGGGATTAAGTGGTCATTGCAGCCATTGCCCCTAGCGATATTTACAGCTATCCACAAACGTATAGGTCACTGGGATTAGGAAACATGTTGACAGTTTCACGCTGGACTTCAACATCGGCATGTGAAACACGTGTTTGAATACATCATCATCTATAAACACATCACTATCATACTTGCCATATCAGCAACCCATGCTCATTGCCCGCCCGCCCAGCCACCTACTCAGTCACTCACTCACTCGACCCGTGTAGATTCGGGTTAGAATAGGTTCCATGTTTGCTGTAAAAGGCGACTATGCTTCTCGAAAGAGGCGACTAACGGGAGCGGGTGGTCAGGCTCGCTGCCTTGGTTGGTGCATGTCATCGTAATCCAGTTGCGTAGATAGATGCTCGTGATATCAGTCACTGGATTGTCTGGTCCAGACTCGATTATTTACAGACCGCCGTCATATAACTGGAATATTGCTGAGTGCGGCGTAAAACAACAAACAAATCATATAGGGTTAATGTGTAAAAAGCCCAAAGCGACGTCGGTCATGGACGTTATCTTTTGCAAGGGTACAGCTACGATGCTGATACATCTCTCACGCTAATCAAGGTGAATCTGGGATGCGGGTGTACGAATCCAAATTGTCGTGTCAAACACTTGGCTTGATCACACGAGCGATTGTTAATTGACGGGAATCACCTTGCGTCATCGGCCTGTTCAATGTCAGCGCCATGCATGCAGAGAAGAGATATAAGTTCAAGGTTGTTCCTCTCGATGGCCTCCTTCAAAGGGGAACTACTCCTGCCCCTGAAACAGGTACATTTCAGGTCATGCCGTGGCCTATTTCACATCTGGGAAAGTAATTTGTAATATAGGGTCGCGTTTAAATGGATATTCAAATTATTACTAATCATTTGCTCTTTGTCTCTTTGCTATAAATAACAAACTTCAAATCATATTTTTTAATAATATGTGTTTCTGGTTTTAACTATGTAGACTGTTCATTGTCGCGTCATGGTGGATGAGTGTCTGTGGAGTGAGTGAGTGAGTGAGTGAGTGAGTGAGTGAGCTGGATCCCTACATGTTTGAGTAAAGCGGGAGAAGGATACCTTTGGAGTTTCAGGAGCACAATAGATCTTCGGTACACAAAAGCTTGCCAGAAGAGCCGACTGAATAGAATATAGTGTCCAGTTGTGTTATCTGGTTGATTGTGTGTCATCGTACGCTAACTGTAGGGATTGCTGCTCATGCTGTCAACCTCTTGTTAGTCTGGTCCAGACCAACTGGTGTCTGTGTAATATATAGCCCATTGTCCGCCCACCCAGCCACCCACTCACTCACTCACTCCACCCCTGAAGATCCGGGTTAGAATAGGTCCCATGCTTGCCGTAAAAGCAGACTATGCTTGTCGTCAGACGCGACTAACGGGATCGGGTGGTCAGGCTCGCTGACCAGGTTGATGCATGTCATCGTTTCCGAGTTGCATGGATCGATGTTCATGATGTCAATCACTGGATTGTCTGGTCCAGACTCGATTATTTACAGACTGCCGTTGTAAAGCTGGAATATTGCTGAGTGTGGCGTAAAACAACACTCACTCACTCACGGATGTGGGAGCAAAGTAAACATGATGTCTGTTGTTGCCAACCCACAACCGCCAGCAGCTAGCACCGCAAACTTCACGATCCTGCCTACACCACGTTCCTCCGTCGTGAACACAGCTGTACCGTGTGGTCGCTATTTACAATCAACGAATCAAGTCTGCTTCCATCGAAAATGAAGCCAGCACGTTGTGAGACCAATGAGCGCTAAACTTATCAACTTACCCAGACAAAAACTCAAAATAGTAAGATTGTTGGTAAAAATGGCCACCATACAACGGAAAACTTACTGTTTCATAAAGCGATCACTGCATGGCGTATTGACATCAATACCCGGATGGCGCAGAAGGACCTGTACTGCCGCCATCTTGTTCTCCGCGACAGCTCCCCACAGCGGAGTACAGTTGTTATGATCCGGCATGTTGATACAAGCCCCGCTTTGGAGCAGATGCTTCACCAGGTCTTCAGCCCCCATCCGACTGGCTAAATGAAGTGGTGTATCTGGAAAATATGCACGAATTAAAGGCCGTAAATAGAACGTTCCACATAGTGAGCAAGTGAATATGTGATTGTGTTACGTCATGGAAATATGTGTGTTGGAGAATTGGGATTTGTGACGACTTACATAGTGAGTGAGTGAGTGAGTAAGAGAGTGAGTGAGTGAGTGAGTGAGTGAGTATGGTGTTTTCGCCGCTTTTAGCAATATTCCACCCACATCATGGCGGAGGACACCAAAAATAGGCTTCACACATTATCTAGACTAGATTCTGACTGGTTATGGAGCAAGTGTGCAATTATTTTTAATGTAGGCCGCTCAGAGGCGAGGTACAAATGACACAGTGCCCGCTAATGTGTGTTTGTTTGTTGTTTAACGCCGAACTCAGCAATATTCCAGCTATTTGACGGCGGTCTGTAAATAATTGAGTTTGGACCAGGCAATCCAGTGTTTGACATCATGTAGCAATTGGGATCGATGATATGCATCAACCAAGTCAGCAAGCCTGACCGCCCGATCCCGTTAGTCGCCTCTTACGACAAGCGTAGTCGCCTTTTACGGCAAGTATGCGTTGCTGAAGACCTATTCTGCCCCGGATCCCCAGGGGTCTTGCCCGCTAATAAATCAAACGGACCACATATTAGGTTACATGCTTATCTCTCATAATTATTGTTGAGTTTCTGAAATAAACCGATGTTTATCCGAATGCAATGGGTAAAGGGAAGTAACTCGGTTCGTTTGCGTTGTCTGCTACGAGGTTTGTTCGGTGAAACTGCGGACATATATTTCGGATCTGTATGAATTAATGTCAGCCAAATACATTCGTTTTCAACCGATCCCTCGGGGTATATAGTGTGATGTACCCTGGGTATGGGCCTATGTAAACCCCGACTTCGGTTGACAACTTATAGTGTAATCATGTCGGGAATCGAACCCGGGTCTTCGGCGTAATGAGCGAACACTTTAACCACTAGACTACCACACCGCCCCTTCCGGAACATCCTCAGCATTCACTCACGACCGCCTCCGTGATCTGGTAGTAGAGCGTCCGCCCGGAGAGCGGAAGGCCGGGGTTCGATCCCTGGCCGCGTCATACCAAAACACGTTAAAGGATGGTACTTGTTGTTACCCTGTCTGGCGCTCGGCATTAAGGGGCTAAAACAAGGACTGGTCGGCTCGGAGTCAGTATACTGTGTCTGAGTGGGGAATTCATGTTAAACTTAGGCATGGTATCTCAGTGTGCAAGCACTATAAATCGGCATCAGCCCGGACTAGTACAAGCAGCCACACACACACACATGCATGCACGTCGCTATATAAGTGCAATAATCTTGGACGCTACGTTAAACCCCCTTTCACCTCACCTCACCTCACCACCTACCCGTAAAATTAGTTATCATGGGATGCGGCGTTCACACATCAAACAAATGTATAGTGTAGTTATATATGTGCTTTCTCATGTGCAGAGGGGGCTGTCGGGTAGCCTAGTGGTTAAAGCGTTCGCTCGTCACGCCGAAAACCCGGGTTCGATTCCCGACATGGGTACAATGAGTGATGTCCCCCGCCGTGATATTGCTGTAATATTGCTAAAAGCGGCGTAAAACCAAACTCACTCACTCATGTGCAGAAGGAATGGCTCACAACGTTCACCTATCAGTCACTAGATCTAGTCCGGTGTACCTGTATAATATCCAGCTGTGATATCGGCACCTCTCTTGATGAAAAGTTTGGCTAAATCATACTGACGACTTTGTATTGCTGCATAGAGGAGTGAGCTGTGGCCGACAGTGCAGTTCACCTGTAAACAAATCACATCACAATAAGTCTCACATACATATTCCTCACGTCGAACTAAGGGAGAGTTTCATTCAATGGTTTAGGGCGCCACTGTGCCCAGGCCAGAGTCTGTGTCGTGTTGCTGGAAACGGCTAGGCTTGAGCAAGTGTCGCTTTCCCGCATATCAAGTTTCATTAACATATGAAATGGGAACTATCAAACTAATTCAGTAATCGAAAACAACAAATGTTGTTATGTTGGTTTTTGTAAAAACTATAAACGTTATCCGTCACCACAATATCCAAAATGATTCATTAATCAAAGGACCCGTGAAGATCCGGGGTAGAATAGGTCTTCAGCAACCCATGCTTGCCGTAAAAGGTGACTATGATTGTCGTAAGAGGCGACTAACGGGATCGGGTGGTCAGGCTTGCTGACTTGGTTGGTGCATGTCATCATATCCAATTTGAGTGCATCGAAGCTCATGATGTCAATCACTGGATTGTCTGGTCCAGACTCTATTATTTACAGACCGTCGTCATACAGCTGAAATATTGCTGAGTGCGGCGTTAAACAACAAATAAACAAACAAACAAACATCTTTAATCAAAGGAAGAAGTTCAGGCACATCTTGATGAGAGTTGGCAGGTAACCAAAATCGTTTCAATTAGCGCACGTTGTAGCAGCGTTAAAGAAGCAACGTAAAATCTAGCCAGGTTTTCACAGTGGTTAGGACGCTCTAGCAATGTTTTCCCCGTGGTTAGGACGCTCTAGCAATGTTTTCCCAGTGGTTAGGACACTCTAGCAATGTTTTCCCCGTGGTTAGGACACTCTAGCAATGTTTTCCCAGTGGTTAGGACGCTATAGCAATGTTTTCCCAGTTGTTAGGACACTCTAGCAATGTTTTCCCAGTGGTTAGGACGCTATAGCAATGTTTTCCCAGTGGTTAGGACACTCTAGCAATGTTTTCCCCGTGGTTAGGACACTCTAGCAATGTTTTCCCAGTGGTTAGGACGCTATAGCAATGTTTTCCCAGTTGTTAGGACACTCTAGCAATGTTTTCCCAGTGGTTAGGACGCTATAGCAATGTTTTCCCAGTGGTTAGGACACTCTAGCAATGTTTTCCCAGTGGTTAGGACGCTATAGCAATGTTTTCCCAGTGGTTAGGACACTCTAGCAATGTTTTCCCAGTGGTTAGGACGCTATAGCAATGTTTTCCCAGTTGTTAGGACACTCTAGCAATGTTTTCCCCGTGGTTAGGACACTCTAGCAATGTTTTCCCAGTGGTTAGGACGCTATAGCAATGTTTTCCCAGTTGTTAGGACACTCTAGCAATGTTTTCCCAGTGGTTAGGACGCTATAGCAATGTTTTCCCAGTGGTTAGGACACTCTAGCAATGTTTTCCCCGTGGTTAGGACGCTCTAGCAATGTTTTCCCAGTGGTTAGGATGCTCGAGCAATGTGTTCCCCGTGGTAAGGACACTCTAGCTATGTTTTCCCCGTGGTTAGGACACTCTAGCAATGTTTTCCCCGTGGTAAGGACACTCTAGCAATGTTTTCCCCGTGGTTAGGACACTCTAGCAATGTGTTCCCCGTGGTTAGGACACTCTAGCAATGTTTTCCCCGTGGTTAGGACACTCTAGCAATGTGTTCCTCGTGGTTAGGACACTCTAGCAATGTTTTCCCCGTGGTTAGGACACTCTAGCAATGTGTTCCCCGTGGTTAGGACACTCTAGCAATGTTTTCCCAGTGGTTAGGACACTCTAGCAATGTTTTCCCAGTGGTTAGGACACTCCAGCTATGTTTTCCCAGTGGTTAGGACACTCTAGCAATGTGTTCCCCGTGGTAAGGACGCTCCAGGTATGTTTTCCCCGTGGTTAGGACACTCTAGCAATGTTTTCCCCGTGGTTAGGACACTCTAGCAATGTTTTCCCCGTGGTTAGGACGCTCTAGCAATGTTTTCCCAGTGGTTAGGACACTCTAGCAATGTCTTCCCAGTGGTAAGGACACTCTAGCAATGTGTTCCCCGTGGTAAGGACACTCTAGCAATGTGTTCCCCGTCGTTAGGACACTCTAGCAATGTGTTCCCAGTGGTTAGGACACTCTAGCAATGTTTTCCCCGTGGTTATGACGCTCTAGCAATGTGTTCCCCGTGGTTAGGACACTCTAGCAATGTGTTCCCAGTGGTTAGGACACTCTAGCAATGTTTTCCCAGTGGTTATGACGCTCTAGCAATGTGTTCCCAGTGGTTAGGACACTCTAGCAATGTTTTCCCGTGGTTAGGACACTCCAGCAATGTTTTCCCAGTGGTTAGGACACTCTAGCAATTTGTTCCCCGTGGTTAGGACGCTCTAGCAATGTGTTCCCCGTGGTTAGGACGCTCTAGCAATGTTTTCCCAGTGGTTAGGACACTCTAGCAATGTCTTCCCCGTGGTTAGGACACTCTAGCAATGTGTTCCCCGTGGTAAGGACACTCTAGCAATGTTTTCCCAGTGGTTAGGACACTCTAGCAATGTCTTCCCCGTGGTTAGGACGCTCCAGCTATGTTTTCCCAGTGGTTAGGACACTCCAGCAATGTTTTCCCCGTGGTTAGGACACTCTAGCAATGTTTTCCCCGTGGTAAGGACACTCTAGCAATGTTTTCCCATTGGTTAGGACACTCTAGCAATGTGTTCCCCGTGGTTAGGACACTCTAGCAATGTGTTCCCCGTGGTTAGGACACTCTAGCAATGTTTTCCCCGTGGTTAGGACACTCTAGCAATGTTTTCCCAGTGGTTAGGACACTCCAGCAATGTGTTCCCCGTGGTTAGGACACTCTAGCAATGTGTTCCCCGTGGTTAGGACACTCTAGCAATGTTTTCCCCGTGGTTAGGACACTCTAGCAATGTTTTCCCCGTGGTTAGGACACTCTAGCAATGTGTTCCCCGTGGTTAGGACACTCTAGCAATGTCTTCCCCGTGGTTAGGACACTCTAGCAATGTGTTCCCCGTGGTTAGGACACTCTAGCAATGTTTTCCCCATGGTTAGGACGCTCTAGCAATGTTTTCCCAGTGGTTAGGACACTCTAGCAATGTCTTCCCCGTGGTTAGGACGCTCCAGCTATGTTTTCCCAGTGGTTAGGACACTCTAGCAATGTCTTCCCCGTGGTTAGGACACTCTAGCAATGTGTTCCCCGTGGTTAGGACACTCTAGCAATGTTTTCCCCGTGGTTAGGACACTCTAGCAATGTTTTCCCCGTGGTTAGGACACTCTAGCAATGTGTTCCCCGTGGTTAGGACACTCTAGCAATGTTTTCCCCGTTGTTAGGACACTCTAGCAATGTCTTCCCCGTGGTTAGGACACTCTAGCAATGTGTTCCCCGTGGTTAGGACACTCTAGCAATGTTTTCACAGTGGTTATGACACTCTAACAATGTGTTCCCCGTGGTTAGGACACTCTAGCAATGTGTTCCCAGTGGTTAGGACACTCTAGCAATGTGTTCCCCGTGGTTAGGACACTCTAGCAATGTTTTCCCCGTGGTTAGGACACTCTAGCTATGTTTTCCCAGTGGTTAGGACACTCTAGCAATGTTTTCCCAGTGGTTATGACACTCTAACAATGTGTTCCCCGTGGTTAGGACACTCTAGCAATGTTTCCCCGTGGTTAGGACACTCTAGCAATGTTTTCCCGTGGTTAGGACACTCTAGCAATGTTTTCCCAGTGGTTAGGACGCTCTAGCAATGTTTTCCCCGTGGTTAGGACACTCTAACAATGTGTTCCCCGTGGTTAGGACACTCTAGCAATGTGTTCCCCGTGGTTAGGACACTCTAGCAATGTCTTCCCCGTGGTTAGGACACTCTAGCAATGTGTTCCCCGTGGTTAGGACACTCTAGCAATGTTTTCCCCGTGGTTAGGACACTCTAGCAATGTTTTCCCCGTGGTTAGGACACTCTAGCAATGTTTTCCCCGTGGTTAGGACACTCTAGCAATGTTTTCCCCGTGGTTAGGACACTCTAGCAATGTGTTCCCCGTGGTTAGGACACTCTAGCAATGTTTTCCCCGTGGTTAGGACACTCTAGCAATGTTTTCCCCGTGGTTAGGACACTCTAGCAATGTTTTCCCCGTGGTTAGGACACTCTAGCAATGTGTTCCCCGTGGTTAGGACACTCCAGCAATGTTTTCCCCTTGGTAAGACAACTCTGTGTAACATCGATTCAATGATTGATAGAGATGGATTCGTTTACTTGATTGCATGTCATCAATATTACATAGTCTATATGCTATAGTACCGCGGCATGTAAATAATAGCTTCCTGGTGGGCATGGAGTGTGATTGACAATCAATGGGATCACATTAAGTACCGTAGAACTACCGCCGACAAAGACGAAGGGGTTGAAATCACTTATCGAAGTCACATCGACCAAACATTAAATGTTGAATGTTCAGGAATAGTTGTATCAATATAGTTTATATGTTTGAATCGAAAATTGTCTTGACAAAGAATTAACAGTGTTTTTATGTGCCTTACATATTCATCTACATCAAAACGATCGCCCGTTGCACGCGAACTTCATAAACGACCAACACACGTACTCTACAATTATAACATGACAGCACTGTTCAAATCCTTTTCCAGCTAACAAAACCGTCCAGAAGTCAAAAATCACAAAAAATACCTGCACTCCCTGCTCCTTGGCTGGACGTTGACTAACGTAATGCTGCCCAGCGGTCACTCTTACTTAACCGTCTTCAACAATAACACGGACATGTCCGTCACACTCAGCTGACCAAGTTAAAAACACCTGTCTGTGCCAGGAAAAAGATCGATCTTAAGTTGATTGCAATGAGACTGAAGGCCGACCCATGACAATAGCGCGATTAGCCACACACTATTCCCCGCTAGGCCGTCAGCAGGCGGTCAGTTGGGTCGGAGAACGGCCAAGTAACGGCAGAGCGACCAGGTACTCAAAAGGTCATCTCGTCACCGGACAGCGTGACCGACTGTGCAGAGCACATGATTAAATAAGAGGTATCTTTTTGTTGG